ATAATAACTTTCATTATTGAAATTGAATTATTAATTATATCATAAATAGGTAAAAAATCAATTTAATGAAAACAATTTTTTAATCATTTAAGATTCAATTTAAAGCATAAAATTTCAATTCAATATGATAATTAATAAACAATTGATATTTTTATTACAAAAGATTCTTCTATCATAATCAAATTACATCATATTGATATTTATAGTAATTGATTGTGAGAATGGATACAATTCAGCAATATCTCAGTATAATGAATATTTACAATCAATATATCAGCAGATGAATTGATCAAGTCATTATCACAATAAAAATAAAAAAAAATTTATAAAACAGATAAAATTGATTGCTATAAATTATAATTGATTTTATCAATAAAATGACAAAATAAATATAAAAACTCAATAAATTTGAATAGAAAAAATTTAACATTTTTATATATTTTATTTATTTCTTTTCAATTTGTTAATTATTATATTTTTTACATTATTTTCTATTTTGATAATTTATCCGGCTTCATTACTAATATTATTCTGCTGAAGGAGGTATGTTGAAGCCGCTATCTTATATATCAAGAATCAAAGATGACATCATGCTATAATTTGTCTTGTTGATTATTTTGCTTCAATGTCTTGCTGAATCTCAGCACTGCCCTGCTTGTATAATCAAGCATATTCTTCCTTATAAATACTGCTTACTTATCATGTAATTATCAGAGTTATAATAATCAATTCATTATTTTATTTTGATATTCAGTATTTGGGTCAATATTCGGACATTATCTAGTTCCGACAGGGGTTCTCAGTGCTGAGCTGCTAGTACACTGACTTATTGGACACCACTGTACATCTCCGGGTGCCATTGGGAGCCTCTCTGTCTTCAGACATTCAACGACTCAGAGACCCTGTCGACTCGCGTCGAGACCCTCAGCCGTCCGGAATTTCCTCCAGAAGTGGTTCATTGTCTAGATCCCTGGACTAACAGCAAAAGGCAAAGCGGGTTGCCCCTCCCACCCCTCTCGCCCCTTGTTCAACTTCCACCTCTGCGATTAAATCCGCAACGCATGCTAGGAGTCCCGCTCTCATACGTTCCTCCTCCTTTAATGCTCCAGAAAGGCCACCCCCCAAAGATCCTCTCACAAAGCGCAAGGTGTCCGGCACGACCGGTACTAAAGGCACAGACATATCGCAGTTGATAATACCAAACTTTTCCTCAAATTCGAATCACGCCGCCTCACCAGGTGATTTCCATCGTTTCCGCCGAACCTTTGAACATACCGGGAATAAACTGGGTGAGAACCCCAACGCTAGGCTCAAACATGGATTTCCAGATCTACGGTGGCCTACCCGGCGCACCGCCTCCAACGTCGGGAGGGGGTGCTCTCGGCCCGCAAAGTGCTAGTTCGATATACATAAACATCCATCAAACGTCATCAAAGCGGATAGCGACACTGGATTATATACGCAAGGCGTAAGCTCCCCGTGGTTACACTCTATGTTCCTTCATATAAATCTTTTACTGATCTATAATTCTCTCTAACTCTTTTTGGTGAAATAATACAGCTCACGAAGGTCGCGTCTATTGGGTTTAATACAGTGCACTTTCTCAAATCGGACCTCTCCCGCATGTCCTATTTCGAGCACGGGAAACTCTCCTGCCGAGCATCCACTATCTCCTTCTTGGGTCTATCTATTTCCCCCCGTTCTCGATGTCAGCTCACCCCTTTTCGAATACCTCCGTTGCCTTAAATGCACTTCCTTCATGGATTTCAAAGCGGTTCCAAACAGG